TGGAGAGCAGGGGGAGCAGAGGCACATCCATAAACAGCTCGAGTTGTGAATGGAAAGAGACGGATTAGGAGCCAGGTGAAAACATGTCACACGGCGGAAAGAAAAATGAGCAGCTGGGGCAGACCAAATTGGTGTCTGATGAAGGACGTGGGGCCTGGTGGAAAAAGGATCCCGAGGCCGGCGGTGCTGCACGGGGGAGGCTGATGAGGAACAGCTGGAGCCGGACACGCACATCTGGTGGAGCAGGGTGAGGGGAGAGGCAATGGCTGCTGTAACCACCGTGCCACCGGCCACCACACTCAGGGCACGGGGCTGCGGCTCATCCCTCGATCGGCATGTCAGGAGGGGCTGATGGTTCATTTTCAGGGCAATCCTGGGGAGGGGACGGCAGGGATTTACACACTGGGGTTCAGGCTCTGCCGTGCCAAGAGGTCCCCAGGTGAAGGAGCTGCTGCCTCTTCCTTCATTTGCATACATGTAAATAAGCAATCAACATAATGAGGGTGAATGCAAACCAGGCTTTCAGTTTGCAACCAAGTCCTATTTTTAACCTTGGAAAAGGGTTTCGGCAGGAAGCTGCAGGCCCTGCTCTGGTACCCATCAGCACGTCCAGCTGTGTGGGTGCTTGCACCAACCCTTCACCCCAAAACACTGCTGACCCCATGACCACTAGTGGGGTCAGCGCCTGCTACACTTTGTTCCCATTGCCGAAGCAAACAGAAATCTCACATCTTTGTGGAAAGAGGGACCACACAACATTACGCTCTGCCTCACGGGAGCCTTTTTGGGACACTCTCCCACCTGCTGAGCCTCAGGTCCCGCTTCCAGTCAGGGTGTGAGCCTAGGGAACGCTCCCGGCACCCTGGGAGTGAAAGCCCCATGCTTAAACATGAGGGTATATTTAGACAGTGTCAATCTAAGTTTGCACATCAACCTTCTAAATATGAAACCCCATCTCGGTGAGATGTTTAAGATACCTCATCAGCCCTTGGAAAATATGCAGGAATATTAATTAGCCAGATTTGGGTATTATCTCGTAATGAATAAATGAAGAGACTCACTGCCTAAGATGAATCACTGGTGGCTCACTGGGTTTTGTTGTTTTCTTTTAAGAGCTTTAAGGTAATTCACTCATTTTAACCCAGGCTGGCAGAGGGGATGCAGCCATGCCAGGGCTGGTCAGGGTGGGACACCTCAGTCTACCCCTAATATGTAGGGACCCTAAAGGCTGGTGTTTTACACTCCCTGATTTGGCCCCAGCTGCCTGTGTTGCCTCTGGGGAGAGAAGGACGGGGATGGGGTTGGAGTCCTGTCCCAGCTGCAGCAGCCCTGGGCCCAGGATGGAAGCGGAAAGTGCAGCCCTACTTCTCAAAAAACTTCTTTTTGGCTTCTTCCCCTCCCACCCCCCATCCTCACCTCCTGCCGTCCTGCTCCTCCAGCTGCTTCACTGCCTCCAGCTGGGCCAGGATAGGAACTTCCCAGTTGCTGTAGAAACCCAGATGAAGGACACACTTCAAACGAAAACGCCAAACAAGAAATGGCTTTGTGCGCGCCCGGATGGCTGCTTTTCCTTGCCAGGATGCAGTGGCTCTGGGGCCCTTCTTTGGGGCACCCTGTGTGGCTGGGGAGGCTGTGGGGACACTGGAGGCTTCCTCACAGCCCCGAAACGTGACGCTGAGCAGTGAGTGGAGGCTGGGGCTCCCCGCAGAAAGGGCTTCAAAGGTCTCCATCACCCATAGGATGCTCAGAGCATGACTGCACTGTGGGATACAGCAGCCATTGGGGTTTTGACATCTCTGCCAGTTCTGGCATCATGTCCCCATCTGGTCTTGGGCTGAGCAGGGGACAGCTGAGCAGAGAATGGGGACAGCAGCACTAGTCTCAAGGTCCAGGTTGGATGGCCTAGGTGATGGGCCATGTGGCAGAGTCACGCCCCGTGGGCACAGGGAAGCGGCATCGGAGGAGACGGGTTGGGATGGACCAGCCGGCAGCCGCTGTCGGCCGGACCCCATCCCTGGCCCCCCCGGCGTGTGGCGGCTGGCGGGGCCGGGGTGGCGCGTGGGTGCGGGGCGCTGCCGGCTGCCGGAGCTGCCATTGTTTGCCTTCAATCAAGATGTTTCAGGCAGAATCAAAAGCACCAACTGGGGAAATCATCATCACAAAAAATCTTGTGCCTGCAAAATAGGTCAAGTAAGACTCCAAAGAGAGAGAGCGTCTGATCTGCATTGCAAGGAAGAATAGCAACAGCTGTGATCTCCAGTATATATGGATGGGCTGGGGGGGGATAAATATATATATCCATGCATATGTATAACCGCTTACAGCTGTTGGGCCGTATGTTCATTAGGGCCAACTGTTTTGGAGGCAGAGGGATCAGCGCTAATCGGGAAAGGGAGTTTATCATCACATTCAGAGGCAAAAGTGTCAGAAGCAACTGCGGCCCCCCCGCCCCGCAGCCCACACCAGCTGTGCCACGCTGAATACACCCAATTCAGCGTCCCCCCAACCCCCCTAGGGCTGTGAGAGCTGCGGCTCCTGCCCCGGCTCCAAAAGCATCCGTAAGTCAGGCCCCAGCTCCCTGCCCAGTCCCAGACCCAAGCACAGTCCCTGGATGCAGAGAGGTTGCCATGCCTGTTTCCCCATTCCCCAGACCAGCTCTCTGTGCCCATAGCCCCCTGCAGTGTGGACCCTTTGGTTATCCCTGCCTGGTGCTGGCCTCACAGGTGCCAGCTATAAAAATGAACCCAAAATACATATAAATCCTCCTGTCTGACATCAGGGAGGGTGATGGAGCCGGGGCAGGACAGCTGGCTCAGCCACCCAAAGTCGTTGGGCTTTGCCTGGTCGGTTGGGACCCAGCTGTCACAGGCTGGAGACAGCAGTGTCCCCAGCCCATGGTGATGTTCTCAGCATGGGAGACCCACTCCCCCCAGCACTCCAAGCTCCTGGCAGCCATAGAAGCATTAAATGTTGCAGGCTTCGGCTCCCATTGGTAGCATAAAGGTTGCAAAGCCAAGCAGCAAGGACAACTTCTATTTAAAAATATCTCTCATCCAGGTGATTTACTTGCAAGGTGTTCCTGCCATCTTCTAATGCAGCTCAGACATGGGGCCTAACCTACCTACCAGGTCCCCTTCCTTGTAGGGTTATTTATTTGGGGCTGTGCCAGATCGGAGCCACGCAGTCACAGCACATTGCAAGCAGAGGGGCTCCTTCCAACCCTTCCTCTTCTGAGGATTTCTTTTTCCTTTTCCATTTAAAAGGATACAGATACTCATCTTGGTCAGCCAGCTAAACAGGAAATGGAGAGTGGGCACCCCCCACCCCATGCTGTTCCCAGAAAGCCTTTGACAGCATCCCCCAGCACGGGCACAGCCCGACCACAGCTTTACAGGAGTTTTGCTTCCAATCGGTGCTGGGAAGGGAAATAAGCGAACAGATTGCAATAAAAAATCCAACAAGCCCAAATTCAGCCAACTGAGCCCGAAGCTGCCATTTCGGCAGGAGCCAATCATGAGGCTGCAGTGGGAGCTTGTTTCCACTTAAACAAAACAAAATAAAATGAAAAAAAGCTCCAGTGCGGTGCCTGGGTGGGTGCCTGGGTGGGTCGGCTGGAGCGTGGCCGTGGCCATCGGTCTGGCTGCCCCTCACGGATGTGTTCCCAGCAGAGCCCCCCGGGCTGGGGGATGCCAACACAACGAGAACGTGGAGGCTGAAATCTCCAGCTCTGTGGCCGCAGACCATTTCTCTGCTCTGATAAAGGCAGCCATCCAGGGCAGTGCGAGGCCGTAAACAGGGAAATACCGCTCAAAGAGGAACAAAAATCTCAGTGTTTTTTTCTCCTGCAGGCCGTGGATTATTATTTTCTTTTTTTTTTTTTCCCTCCCCACATCCAACCCACTCGGTTCCTTGTCCTTCCGGGAGCACTAAATTCATCATGTGAATGCAAAGCGGGGCTTGTGCGGGGAAGGGAGCTGCGGTTCGCTCGAGCAGACGCATGCAAGGTCACACGCAGCCTCGCCATAAATTACGGTGTGTCCCACCATAAACAGCAACAGGAGAGGGGAAGCGCGGCGGCTTCAGGGGCCGGGGGCCGCAGGGGCCGATACATAACGTTGTGACAAGTCAAACAACTCTCAGGGTGTTCACTTGCCAGAGAAATATTTTTCACATCCAATCCATTAGGCAAACAAGATGAAAAAGTATTTCCTACTTTGCTGAAAAAATACCAAGGCTCAGTATAAAGCGTGCCTTAAAAAAAAAAAAAAAGAGAAAAGAAATTAAGTGTGACCATCTATAATGTGTTTTTTCCAGCTGCTCTGACAGCCTTGCAGGCATCCCAGCCATGCAGGGAGGGAGCTGATGCTTTAAAGAGTTCTAACAGTTTCTCGCTTTTTGGCCTGTCCTGGTGTAGCAGGAACAGTAATGAGTCAGATTAGCTGGAAAGCAACCCCAGATTCGTTTCCCTCCCTCCAAACGCCCTCCCAACCCCACTTCACTGAACCAAACCCAAATCATTTGCTGCTTTCCTTTTTCCCCTTCCTTTTTCCTGCCAGGTCAGCAGGGAATGTGTTTCAAGGCATGCTTTTTTTTAACCTACAACATGATTTTTGAAACAAGAAGATCCTCCCAAAGTTTGCCTTTCTTGCTGGCTTTTTCTGATCGTTTTGGATAAGTGAAAATCTAAAGGAAAAAGGCTTCTACCAACAGTTTTGATCACTTCTAGTACCAGCAACCATCTCTGATGGGAAGACAGGGAAGCAGTGGAAAAGCAGCTTTGCAGACTGACTGGGGGCTCCTTGGGAAGAGGCAATTCTCAGCTGATGGCTGTCAGAAAATGAACCTGGCAAAGAACAAAAGAATCACCCCTAAACACCAGTTGTCTTTCTACTAAATTTTAATTTATTTCCTTTTTTTTTTTGACAAAGACATCTAAATTATACACTGAGTAACAACATGACCAGATATTGCAAATACCCCTTTTTGGTGAAATTCAAAAAGGGAACATAAAAGAAAGAGCTTGTGTGGACTCAGACGGCCCAAGGAATGCAACAGCCGCCACCTTTTTTGGAGAAGGGTGAGACCTGTGGGGCGGGAGGCGAGTTGGAGTGGGTTGGTCTCATCCCAGTACACTTCATAAAAAAGAGTCTGGTGACCAGTTATAGTTTTGATAGAGGGAGAAGTCATTAACATTAACGTACAAGAAACATTATTGGTAGTAGGAAAAATGGGAGAAGGTTGCAAGAGGCTTTGGGAAGCATTCTCCGATGGCAGGGAGAGACATCCTCCATCAGAGCTGCAGTGGGGGACACAGCCACAGCCAGGGGAGGATACGAATGCCCACACCCAGTGCTCACGGTCAGAGCAGGGGCTTGGACTCATGTTTTCTGATGTGCCCTTGGAGAATCTCACTTTTCCACTACCTCTCCCCTCCAGGGAACACAATGGGGTAGGAGCAGGAGAGCCATCTTTCCATCTATCACAAAGGTAGAACCAGATTTAACTATGTGAAAGTGAAGCACAACAAACTCCCCATGGGAGAGGAATTAACCCCTGTGACAAACTTCTAGAGGCCTGGGGTGGGTCTGTCTGTCACTCCATGCCTTTAAATCAAGGCCAGGTATCTTCCTACCAGAGGGGCTCTAATTCAACTGTGAGTCACCACTGGAGGGATGGCGTTTAATGGGCTGTGTTATGCGGGAGGTCAGGAGAGAGGAACATAATGATCCCTTCTGGCTTTAAAAATCTATGAATCGATGCAAAGTGTGGCAGAGCTCCACCCATACCAATGAGAGGTTTGCTTCCCCCAGCCTCACCTTAAGGAGGGCAAAGCCAACAGCGTTGGAAGGACAGAGCCTTGTGTGTGCCATTGCTGTAAACCAGAGCACGGCTGAAGGGCTGGGAGAGGGGCAGGGGCTGCACTGATCAGGGGCAGGCGTTTCTGGCTGGCCCCAGGCAGTTGTGCAGGTGGTGTTTAGCCAGGTGCCACCCAGGGCAGTGAGCCCTGCAGAGGGTATAGCAAATGTAAATACATTCAGATAAGGAGCAGCAAGTGAACAGAACCTCAAATCCTTTTACATTTTCACCAGGTTGCACAGAGAGATGTTTACAATACAATGAGCATTTACAGCCATCACTGCAGGGTGATATACTTAAGATACGGTCATTTTAACCGTCCACCTCCTTCCTCCCAGAACACATCACTCTATCATGGTCTTCCTCTCACTACCTTGCTCAGGAAAACCAAATTAACTGCTGGATTACAGGTGACACTCTTGGCAGTACAGATGCACGCAACCAATACGTGTAGCTACATGCAAACATAATGAATGAGCCAGCAAATGTTTCTGGATCCTGAGTTCAATAAGGCAATTTTCCCTTCCCAACTAAAGTGATAGGAAAATTACTACATATCTATTTTACACACATTTTCAAGTTTAACCAATGTGAGACTTAAAAAACAAATTACCCTCCTGGATGCTTTTCAGCTCCAGGAAGCCAACTGTGGCACAGGTGGGGTGTCACAGAGTAAATTTGCCACTGCTAAAAAAGTAGGGAGCAGGAAAGCACCAACTCAAGTCCCTTGCAAGGGAGAAGGATCAATGCCTGAGCCCCCTGGGGGACCTTGCTCTGTCCTGCCTGGACCAGGGGACAGGTACCCAAGCATTTCCCTCTGCATCTGGCATGCAATGCGGACAAATCCAAAGCTCAAAAGCTCAGGAGTATCCCTCACAAAGCTCTGCCACTCAGCCAGCACCAGGTGTGCCTACAGGAGAGGGCTGCAATTCTTTACAGCACTTGCATCAGGCAAATACATTAATTGCAAGGAAAAGGTGATGCCAGGATTAATTTCTCCTCCTTGGGCTGACCCAGGAACAAGCCATGCCCAAATCTGCAGCATTCTTGATAAGCCATTGCAGCTGGGGAGTCACCGAGCAAGCTGTGTTTAAACGAACATCTCATCTTATGACTCCTTACTCAATCCATGCAAAGCCGGAGCTGTGTCACTTGGTGTCATTAGCTATTGCTTAACAGCTCACACGAGCCCGCTCTTCCCCGCCCCTTCCCCAGTCGTCTGGTTTTTAAAGCAAGGCTGTGCTACTCCAGCAGGCATGTCCTGCCTCTGTGCTGGAGACAGATGCACACGGAGGGTGCTGACTCACGGACGCAGGCAGATTAAAGTTGGATTGGTAAAGCAGTTGCTGTCCCAGCTGTCCCTCTGCCCCCAGCCACAGCAGACAGCTGAACTACACGCGGATCAACCCTGAACCGCTACTGTACATCCTGATCTATGGGGGGACCTGGAATGAGCCCCAGATGATTTTAATCTGCCAAGCTGTAACACGTAGGCGGCCAGGGGCTGCTTCACGTACACTGCAGATGTTTGTGCTGTGAGGTGGAGACATCCAGGGGAAGGGAGGAAAAAAGAGCTGGGAGCTCCAGGGGTGTCAGCCGTCTGCCTGGGTCCATGAGTCAACTCGCTGACGCGTGGTAAAGCCACATGCTTTAGTACATGCAGCTTTCCCCATCCTGCCCGACAGTCCATCTCCAGGAGGTGGAAGGGGTAATGCAGTCCCTAGTCATTCTCTGCCCTTTTGCAGGCAGGCAGCAAACAAAGCTGGCAAGCAGGGCAGTGGGATTATTTTACCATCTGTGCATTAGAAACTGGCCCAGGAGTCACCAAGCTTGCTTCATGCAGGACATGGCTGCTTTGGCGTGGTAATCGTTCCTGCCCACTGTCAGCTGGGGCTAGATTTGAACTGGGGGCGAGGACGCGGAAAACACATTCTCTTTCCTATTTCAGCAACTGCATCCTTTTATGGGAAAGTCAGTTCAGGGAAGAATGAAATCTTGTTTTAAAGAGTGCTTCTCATCTGCCGTTCATCAGCATCCTCACCCTCCACCAGGGCAATCCACAGCCAGGATGGGGCTGGGAGGACCTCAGGCACTGGGCAGCCAGCCCGCTGTGGGGCAGTCCCCCAATCCCTGGCAGGGCTAGGCGAGGCTTGCTGAGGTGGTGGGGTAGGAGAATACATTTTGCACATTTCAAAAAGGAAACCTGGGACCTGATATCTCATTCTAGAAAGTAATCATGGACTTAATTGCATTCTCCTGCAGAGTTGCCTTAACATCAAGGGAAAATCAACAGGGATTGTTCAACATCAAGACTAATCTCACATATGGAACTTATTGAACGGAGGAACCACGTTTTCGCTGGCTCAAGGTGAAACGCTGGGCTAAATTCTCCTTCAGCTGTGAGAAAAGCCCTAGGCATGCTCATCCTGCATTATTCCAACTGTAAAGAGCTTCAATTATACACATATAACCCTTCTCTCCCTTCTACAGCGGTGTCGCAATGCAACAGTGCCTCGTTATGATCAAACTCCTCTTTTATGGCTATAGGAATGTGTGGAAGTCTTCTACCCTCGTTACACAAATGACTCCTTAGCAGCTTTATTTTAAGAAACTACCCACAATTGGTAACACAACCGCATTTTATCTGTCACTGAGGGGAAGCTGTGACTGACACCCGAGCGTGTCCTCAGCAGCCACGCGTATAGGGCAGGTCCTATGCATCTAAGCAACTACAGTAATTCACCACTCCCTCTGCTCCACACTGAATCACAGTCTTGCTTCTGCTTACAAACTTGCTTGCTAATCAGACATTTAATACTATTTATGCATAGGGAGGAAATATGTAATTCCTTTATTGGGATAAAAAAATGATACTAAAGAGCAGGTCAAGTTCCAAATCCAGCAGTAGGCTTAAACCGATGTTGTTCCCTTTTTTTCTCTCTCTCTTTTTTTTTTCTTTTAACAGCTGTAGCTGTGCACAGATGGAAAAACATTTGGTCAGAAAGCAGCAAATTAGTGTTTTCAGGCTAGAATTCTGCTCCCACCGCTCCTCCATTTCCATGCAGCTCAGATCGCTTTACTTCTTCTTAGCACTGACATTTTTGCACACCCAATTCATGCCGTCCTTCAGACAGAGAAAGGTAATGTTAGTCAAGCGAAGGGAAAAGGAATCCCCCAATCCCACCCAACCACCACTCTGCAAGCACCATGTTCTGACTCCTCACAGAACCCCTGCCTGTCCCTCTGTGCCCAAAACCACTGCGGGTTAAAAAAATAAGTGCGTCCTTGCTCAGTAGATGTTGTCACACAGAGGTCATTAAATCTTTCACCTGACCATAAAAAGTATCATCGTCTCATGACATCGCTATGTGTAGGTCCTTCGAGGAAGGATCCCTTTGCAGTCAAGGTATGTCAGCGGCAGATGAAGACTCAGTTCCAGGTTCAGCCAGAGATGATTTGTGTAATCTTGGGCAAGTAATCTTGAGACTGTGGATTTCAGGGGACTGTTTGTTATACAGTCAGCTCCCAGTTAAGAATACGGCTCTAATTCTCTGCTCATCTGCAAGCCTTGAAATCCAGATCCATGAAAGCCACTGCAATACCCAGATCTGGACCCTACTCCTTGTTCCTCAGGGCCCCCACAAAATATGGGCCCTCAGGGGTCCCACAGGGATTCAGTGAGAAGCAATGTGATGATGTTTCAAGAGGCTGATACATTCTTTAAGGTATGTCTGTAAAAATGTGTGGGTGACTTTTCTGGCCACTGCAAGCAGGATTGCAACACTTGTGCCATGAATACCCAATTTGTGAGTTTATTGCTGAGATCCCAGAACGGGATATGCTATTGAAAGCCACAGCAATACTTCATCTGCTCCTGTCATTTATCTGTTAGGAGACGCGCACAATGGAGTGCAAGATGCACAGTCTCCTCGTAGTTGTGTCCCATCGAATTTGTTACCTCTGTCCTGCCTAGGAGGTATCTCTGCTGACAGGGAGGCTGAGATCAAAAAGGTGGCAGGTAGGGGTTTGGGGATGAGAGGGAGCAGCACATATTTGCATTTGGAAATTGGACAAATGTCACCCTAAGAGTTCAGAGCAGGGGATCTCACTGTATTATGTTCAGTGGTCATTTCTGGATCATTAAAACAATAATTAGACCCTAAGAAAGATCAGAGCCTTCAGGCCAACAGCCCCACGGTAGCAGTGTTGCTGGCTTCCTGCACCCTTGTCCCCAAACTGCCAAAAGGCTGCCAAGGACCTCAACTTCCCCGAGGACAGGTGGTCAAAGGCACAGCAAGGCAGGCCCTTCGGGTGAGCCGAGACCCACTGCTGTGCCTCTGTGTTGTCCCTCAGCCACAAAGGTGGTGACCATGTTGGAGGGGAGCTAAAGAGTTAAGAGAGAAGAGAGGGAGTCCTCAGGGCTTAATCAGAAGCAGAGAGGTTCTCACTTGAAAATACCAATTCACCTTGATAACTGTGCTATGTGACACTTCTTATCTGAAGGGGAGCAGCAACTTTTGAAATCAGCCCTTGTTGCTGTGTTAAATAAAGAATAAGTGAGCCCAGCCTGTGCTGGGGTGCACATGAGGCCCTACACTAATAACACTTCTAACTCTAACCTTGGGGAGGGTTGAGGTCTCCAGTTTCATTTATTTATCTCCACAGCAGAGATCAGTGTAAAACAAATTGTCTGAAATCCTCAGAGCAAATGGGAAAAGATGAGCGGTAGATTCATTTTAAGGCCCAGTAGCTTTGTGTCTTCCCCTTTCAATAACACTGATAACCTAGGTGTAAAACATGTAATGCCTTAAGCAATCAATAGTGTGGTTTAAAGCTTATCACTTTAGAGAGAGGGAGGGAGTGATTCCCAGCATGAGGAATGCCAGGACTTAACAATGGGGCTAGGAGGAGAGGTGTCAAGCCTTTGACTCGATTGTGTGCTTTAGAAATCTGCATGATTGCCTGCAAAGAGTAAAGCTAAATAAATAAATAAAAATGCTCCCACAATGATTTCAGCTTCCCCTGCCTCGGAAGCAATAATCACATTTGCACACATCATGGCATACAAGGCAGGCAGAGCTCCTCATTCATTTTGAATGTAGGTTTATTTGCTGAACCAGAACAGCTGAGACAGCTTAAAGTAATAAATATCAGCTGACACCCTCTGCTATTCAGCACAGTAATCTCAGAAACAATACATCACTGCAAAACAACAAACACGCATCCTATCTTCTACCTAATCTGACCACAACCTGAATTCACAGTGATTAAAACTCTGCCTGCTGCCATTGGGGAGCTCGGGAAGGGGAAAGACAGACCGTTTCAGCACCAGCGCAGCGAGGGTCATAAAGCAGAGTTTATGATGGGATTTACCATGGCTGGGAGCCTGGCTGCATGAAGCATTTAACGAGGGCAAAAGAATGACATAGCAAAATGCAAGAGGAAAGGTGAACTCCAAACAGGCTTGAAATACGTAAGTAGGTCACCAAACTTTTAAAGAAGGAATAGATTTTAAAAACCCTCTTCTGGCGTGAGTTAATTGACAGAAAAGAGCACATTTAATCATAAGTATCTCTCTGCTTGCCTGTGATAAAGGGAAAATTAACATGCTCAGCTGTATCAAAGAGGTACGTGTGAGACGCCTTCCTCAGCTACATCCGCAGCTTCTGGTGCAACTTTTTTTGGGGGGAGGGGTGTTCTGCAGTGTCCCCAAATGCTTTGGAGAATAGCAAATGCAATGAAAAGCAAAAGAAACTAAAAGGTATGTTTGCAGTTTTTCTACCGAAGGTCTGAAGCAGGATGAAATGTTGGTAAGATAGAGAAATCCAGGGAAGCTGCTACAAACACAAAGAGCTGCTATGGGAAAGGCACACGGGAAGGAGGAAACAGTGCTTGAAAGAGTCTAGTCCATAAGGAGTCAACTGTTGTCATCCTTTGTCCCTACACACTCTGTCCCTATATCTGCATGCTTAAAAGATGGCTCTGTGAAGAAAGTACAATCCCTACAGTAACATTTAGATCTTGATAGATGTCCTTGTGCTGCTTTGTTGAGACACAGAGTCATTGGCAGGTACTCTGAGGATCGAGGCGGATACAATATTAGTATTCCAGCCTCAAGTCAACCCTGGGAAAACTTAGCCAGGAAAAGATTTCAGATCTTTCAGCTTTGCCTCTCTTAGCTCCTTAACAAGCAGCTAGTAAACTTTACCAAAGCAAAGAGAAAGAACCCCAGGGAAGAGCATAATGCTCCTTGCAGAGAAATGCTGCTCAGCACAACCCCGCCTTGCTGCAGTCCCATCTGCTATTGTGCCAAGGGAGTTGTACTCCAACGCCCTTTGGGAAAGTACTGGTAGAGCCTTCCCTGGGAGAAATAAAAAGTCCTGCTTAAGATTAGCCCACTGCTTGCTTATTCTCTGCATTATCAGCTTTGTGGCTATGGGAGTGAAGTAATCTGACTTCAAACACAGTGAACAAGTCCTTTCCACCCCACAAAAAGCCTCCCGATTTCTGCTCCCCTGCAAGCCAGGGATCAGGCAAGGCCACAAACTTGTGACCCCTAATGTGACCTTAAGGACAGCAAAGCTTAATCCTTTCATGTAATCCTCTGTCTGCCATAACAAATTGGGTCAGGCAAGTGCAAAATTCTCCATCTCTAGCATTTTTGGTATGCGTTATTTTAACCGTCACTTTCTTCTCCCTCAGCACAGGCAGGACTGTGCCTTCATTATCTGTCATTTCCTTGCACCTCGAGTCATCATACAGGCTGGCTTTTACAGGATCCCGCCAGTACATTATCCATTGTTTTTTGCCTGGGCGAAAGCTTATTTTTTTTGTCCTCTGAAGCCTCATATCCCTGATGCAGCACTGTAGACTCCTTCCTTACCATGCTTAAAAATCAGAAGACACTGCCCCGTAATCTGGAAACAGGGTTGCTTTTCCTTAACATGCTCTGCCTGCCTCAGGAGAGCTGCAGTCATCAAAACTGGTTTTAAATCACATTTATAAGTAGCTCCAGAACCTTGTTAAGATGTGGAAGATCCCATTCAGCCTGCCCTGGCTAAGACATCTTTAAGACAAAACTTAAGCTTTGCAGATACCATATTGCCAAGGGGGTCCTTTTCTGGTTCAGTCCTTATGAAAGTGCTGAATCGCAGCAAAGACATAACTTGGGGCTTGGGCTTCACTCTCAACTGGGTTGAAACAGCCAGGGAGGAGATGGAGGCTCAGCCCTTCCCACAGTCCTTTGGGCCAGACGGGCTCTGGCATAAATTAGAGAAGTTTAGTGGCTACTCTCAGTTTCAGTGGCTTTTAATGGTCTCCAGAGAGCCATTATGTTTGGGAGACTTTGGACACAATGCGCTACAGCATCGTTCTGGAGGACAGTTCCTCAGGGCAGGCTGAACTCCTGCTGCCTTGATCGGAGACTCTTGCTTCAGACAAGAAACAGGCTGCAGAGCACAGATTGGTCCAAAGCCTTGAGGCATATTTAATATCACACCCTGGCCCCTAAATAACACCTCCAGCAAGAGGGCAGGCTGCAAAGCAGAGGAGTCCTGCCTGCTTTCACCCCACCACAGCCAGCCAGGGTGAGATGTATATAGCTTTTGCACACCAAGGGCTACAATTGGAGATCTGGTCACAATACAACCCCAAGAGAGCCTACGTGGCACCAGAGAGCCGTTATGTGGCAACAGTTCCCTTGTGTTCCTCTGCTGACATCAGCAATCACCTCCCTCGCTTGCTGAATCCTGTGCAAGGGGCTCAGTGTAGGCTGTTCAGGACTCTGCTCCAGAGGCACAGCCCAGATGGCTGTGGCAGGGAGAAAAAGCTTTCCCGCTTTCCGAACTAGAGCTGAAGGATAAGATCAGACCCAAGCAGACAGTTAGCTTGAAAAAGCCTCTGAGTGTGAGTGATGCCACTCCTCCCTCAATGGCACCATGAAGTCTGATTAACACAAGCGCTGCCCACGGTTACAGTCAGAAGGTAATGAAGTCTTCAGCTGGCATAATAGGGGCTGCCAGCTGGCATCCTGAGACACCGCATGGGGTTTCCAGTTAACCCAGTCACCTCTCTTCTGAGCCTGCTCAGGACACTGCTGGGCCCCTTTTCCAGAGTCCCCAGTGGTTAATTTTAAAAGAGAAGATGACTGTATGGATTCCCCCCTTAATTAATAGTTTTATTAAATAACCCATTTCAAATACTAGTTAAATTCTCTAAATTTATATCATTCTATTAACCATAATCTAATCTCATTAACCTTGAAATCCCCAGTCTTAACTACCCAGTTCTATACACCATGGTGCAAGCAGCTAAACTAATTAAATGACCTTCAAACTATTTCTCCTTCAAGTATTGGCATTATTTATCTTTGCTCACTGCTCTTCCTTCAAGCTATCACAAACATCTTCCCCTATGAACTCTGTTCTTGCATGTGCTCAGCACAAGATATGCCACCACTCTTCAGTGATGTCTCCAGCTCTACTCTAGCTAATACATTCCATCAGCAGCGATGGTAAGTGTACCCGCTCCTTGGCTTTCATTTTGAATACCTGATGCTTCCACATCTTCACTTACTTTGCTGTCACTCACTGTCATTTCTCAAAGAAGTTCTTAAAGCAGTGACCTGAGGTTCAATTACACATACAGAACTCATGTTCTGAGCCACTGGCAGAGATACTGTGTACTAGGATCCTCAAAAACATCATTCTTGATGTCACTCTTTAAACAAGTTCTTTGGTTCTCCTAAATTTTCAGCATGTTGACCCCTCCTTAAGGGTCCCAGGACTGAAGACAACATATCTTTCTAGGCTGATCCAGGTTTAGTTTAAAAGCTGTCTCCCAAACCATTTTGTTCAATTTGCAAGGAAAGGGAGTGCTTGGATTTGACAAGCCTGCAGTTATGCCTGAAGAGAAATGTAGAGGCTCTTTTTCTACGAGCTACAGAGAGTTTGTGATGTCCCTGACCTTTCTGCAATAATCATTTATGGAATAAGCTGCAGTATTTAGGGAAACGAGACTGCCTACAACCAAGAGGGACATTATCTGGCCTGCACCTAAACTGTCTAGATAAGCATGATGAACACAATATATTGGCCTGCAAATACTTTTATTTAGCTCTGGTCTTCTGTTTTTTGGAAGTGAGCGCAGAAGCAGATTTCATTTCCCTGCTAGAGGGTATTGGGCTGTGTATTTTACGCTATTGAATGTATAGCGATGTGCTGTACTTCAGGGAGGAGGCACAGGAAGAAGGTGCTGTCTGTCAATAAAGAAGGGTGCAGTCCACTCCAGAGCACACAGATCAGCTCAAGAAGGAGGCATATTTCAAAGCCCACAAACAGAAAGTGCCACTTCCTATTATTTAGTTCTTCCACATCCAACCCACATCTCTGAATTTCACCTGCTACTTTACTGCTCCTTTACAGCCGGATGTCCATAAACCAGAGGAGGGCCTGGAGGAGGGAAGAAGGTGACCTATGCTTGCCTGAAACCCTGTCAACTTTCCTGATCACATTTCTTTGGACTGGAATATACACTGCCAGTGTGGAATACGTTTCCCTCTACCACCACCACTTCAGAATAAAGATTACAGCTGAAGCCCTTCACTAGACTGGCTGGAACACAGCTGAATTTGTATCTTAGCTAAGTAAATAAAGGCCCTTTGGAGGATACCATCTACAACATTTAGGTCTAAACATCAGCTTGAGAATTTGAAATTAGAAGAACTGCTGTACTGGGTCAGACCAATGGTTCATCCAGCTTTCCTTCTGGATGCCAGGGAGAAAGACCATGTAGGAACAGGATCTCTCTTGCTCTGTTCTTCCTTCCCAGTCCATGGCCCAAGCTGTTCCTCAGCCAAAAGATGCCTCCAGATCTTAGTGGTGATTGCCTGCAGATCCCTTCTTCAGAAATTCACTTAGTATTTTTCTTAAGACTGGTACATTTGGTCTCCACAACATCCTTTGCCAGTGACATCTACAATTTAATTATGCGACTCGCAAAGAAGCACTTATTTTTACTTCTTTTAAGCTGCTGTCTGATTATTTCATTAGGAACACCCTCCCTCTAGCAATGTGAAAAACAGCATACGGTCTGACATTTTTATACCTTATTTTATAAATCCTGAAGATGTTCCCATTGTCTGTCCTCTCTCTTCCAAGCTGCAAGTCCTAATTTATTTATTATCCTTGTATACAGATGGCATTCTGTGCTACTGATCATTCTCAATAGAGGATTCTCAAATCTCTCCTAATTCTGAGAAGATATACGGACAATATTTTTTCAGATTAGGGTAGTTAAGTGCTAGAAGAGGTTACCTAGAGAGGATGTGGAATCTCCATGCTTGGAGATATTTGAAAGTTGATTGGACAAGGCTCTCAGCAATCTCCTCTAGACTCACTGTTATCCCTGCTTTAAACATGAAGTTGGTATAACAATCTCCTGAAGACTCTAATTTTTTGTTGGACTCTATGATTCTACTACTACTAAAATCTTTTTAAATGGGGCAGAGGCAGAAATTAATGTCATGTTCAAGGTATGGGTCCACCATGACTTTAACCTGCTAGAAAAGATGTTTCTTGTTTGCTTTCCTGTAATTGTCTAGTGTTTGGATTTTCCTCTCTGGCCTCTGACGAGCTGCTGTTCACAACGATCTGCTTCTGAATAATGGCAGCTAATTTTGAGCCCACTGTCATATGTGTATAGTTGGGATTGTTGTTCCACATGTGTATTATTTTGCACTTGTCAACACTGAATTTCATCTGCCATTTTACTGCCCACTCAGTATGGCGGGCTGCTTCTGCCACTCTTCATACCCAGCTTGAGATCTGACTATCCTGAACATCTCTGTAGCATCTGCAATAAGGTTTTACAGAAACTGCAATGAAGATAAATGTCTTCACCATTCTGTTTCTTTAAATATCAGTGAAGGGAGTACTCAGATTTAGAGCACCGCAAATACTTCATTAATTCAGGAAAGCCTAGGAGTGAAATAAACAAACCTAGGTCCCATTTACATTACAAAGAGCTACTATACCGCAGGAACTGGCTACAGCACAGGAGCCCAAGACACAGCTATCACAGTTCAGCACAGAGACACAGCTCAGGCCCTTTGGTGGGTTTTTGCTGCCCCACATGTTGTCATTAGAAGTGCCCTTGCCCCATGTGCAACTCTTGCATTTCTCTGGATCAGAAAAATTGATCAGTTTTTCTCTCTGGCGCCTGGGTTGAGCAAAATGCCAAATGACATCAGTAGTGAAGGTAAATCAGATTTCTAGAGTGCACACTTGTAACAGTCAAAGGGGTTAATAGTAAAAGACGATTTGTTTTGTGAGAATGATTAACCTGACAGCAGTCTCTTTAAAATAAATCAAAGTCTTCATCTGGCCCAGCCAAGGGCTCCTGGGTGGGGAGGCAATCACTCTCCCCTTTCCCAGGGATGGAGGCATCCCAAGGGCCCATAGCTCTCCCTTCCCTTTGCGCAGGCAATGAGACACACGCGCCCCGCGTTCTGCGCTGCAAGGGTTTGGCTGTGCTGACCCTCCTTGGTGAGGCAGCTGGTCCAGCCCCACCCTGCAGATCAACAATCTTTTACAGATGGCCTGCTGGCACAGCAAGCCTTCTCCAGAGCCTCACCTGTACTCCTTCTCCTGAAAGAGCTGAACAAGACTGGATCTGCCAGACTCTGTCCCGGATTGTGTGTAGATTCAGTCCCTCGGCAATCTCCGAAGCAGGGGCAGCCGTCAGCAAATCCTGCTTGTTAGCGAATATGAGCACGGGGACTCCACTAAGCTTTTCTTCATCCAAAAGCTCAGCCAACTCCTGTGTCATTTACAAGGGAGTGAGGTGGGGGGAAGATGGAGAGAGGGAAGGGCAGAAAACTTTCAACCACCAGTGGTTGTCTCTAATTAGAAATATATTTAGGGCAAATGCTAGAAGAGTGTGTTCCAGTGAAACCTAGATCTTATTATAAGAGACCAAAAATGTATACAATCATCTCTGCCCAAGGTTCAAAAGCTATTTCTTCCAATTACAGGTTAGAAAAATCTTCATTTTGGTCTGAAATTAGCAGTTGCCTTAAAGGCTACAACTCTGTGTTTTACCAGTTCCTGATCCCAGGAGACCAAAACTGATGAAACAGCAAAAACCATGTAAATTGGCAGTATGAGGAATCTGTCTTAAGTTATTGCTTGACTGGCATTTGTACCTGAGCAACCGTTGACACCAGCCCTGATATCTTTGCTAATAAGGAGTTTCAGGGGCTTGTTCCAAGTTTTATACACTGCAGTTTGAACAATAGAGGACTTTCCCCCCTTGCCCCGAAATGGAAATCTCCCTCCCATAAGAAAGTGCTTATGCTTTTGAAGGCATTGGCTAGGTGAAAACAAACTAAATCAGCTTTACTAGCTGGATTTTGGCTCCATATGCATGGCACACATTTTGGGTGGCATCTTGAAGAATGAGTTTGCTCATTCAAAAACGGGTGACTCAAAGAGATTTTTTGAATAGCCCAAATCTGAATCTGCAGTGGATCGATGATGGCTAAAACACTTCATGCCTAGGGTTGTGCAAGGGTCTCACATGAAACAAGCACCCAGCCTCAAGTCACTTCCCTATGGGAACGTATGACAAACCCAGCAGAACTTGAACCTGTAGGGACTGCTGGTGTTGCAGACAGATGAGTGCATGAGATTTTTATGGGCTCCTTATTTAGCTGGAAAGGTCTCATGCTCACAGATACTGTCCTAACATCCTTTATCCACTGGGTAGAAACTTTTGGATTAAATGAGTGCAGTCAGGGAGATGCTAAACTGCAGTGGAAATACGACTCCATCCCCCCAAAAGCAATGTTTGGTTTGGAAACCAGGATGAGAGAATGGAGTTATAAACAGAGCTGGCTGGGAATTTTTCAACAAAATAGGTCTTTCATCTGACACAGTTGATTTATTGAAACCAAAAGTGTTTGTGGAAATATGAGGAGGGGTCCTGGCTGACTCCACCTGACTCGGGCAAGCGCTCTAAAAGCTTCTGCTTACTCTCCCTCTCTTTTGGCCAATGAATATTTAATTACTTATATAAAATGAAATAGCTCCAGCAGGGGAAGATTGCCCCCACTCCTAGAACAACCAACAGTTCTGCTGTTGGGGTTTGTCCATGATACATGAGAGGCAAAAGATCAAGTACCTTCTTCAAATCAGGCAGAACAGAGGGCTTTAATCTAAATCTCCCCTTTTTGGGGGGTAAATTTGTTGCTAGCTATTTTGGGACACTGTCACTTTCTGAATTTTACAAAAGAAAGTTCAAAAGTCCTAATGTTGTTCCATCCTAAAACATAAAATGTTACAAAACATCAAAACTTTGCAAAACGGAAATCTTATTTTCTGGCCAGTCCTAGTTAGAAAGTTCTTAGCTTTTTTTCAATTACATCCAAAAGACAATCAAGTCAATATGATTTCCATTTCAATTTTGTAAATAAGAAAATAGGATTCCTCGGGGTCTTGGTTTGGCAACATTTAAAGGACTTAGAGAAGTTCTTGCTTTCAGTATTAGGCTCCATTTGCTATTATTGTATAACTTTAATGAAAACCGTTCTATTTAAACGGAATTAGGCTACCTATTTTCCTTGTTTCACATCTACCAAAATAATCTGCATTGATGTTGAAAGGCAAGTCCCTTGAAATGCAAATTTCCTTCATAAACAACAAAATCCTCTTTCTAACTTTTGTGAGCGAGGGCCACTCAGGAGCACTAAGTTACTTCAAAGGAAGCTGGGCATAAGTAACTTACCTGACCCGTTTCTTCAAACCTCTTCCTATCTGCACTGTCAATGACATAGATCTGAAAAAGAAATGACAGGAAAAGTTACTCTTCCCAGAAGACACTCTTCCACAGTAGCACGTGCTTAAGTGAGCTGAACCTAATAATTATGCTTTTGGGCACAAAGATCCTTGCTCTTATTTATAGCAAATGTTGACAAAACTTCATGATGTTCTGAAAGGAGAGGAACCACCTCTTTGAAAGTTGGGGGAGTGGGCAGCCACGTGGGTAGGATCAGAAAGGAGATGGGGGCAGTACTGGGGATGCACTCACCATCTTCATAGCCTCTCTTATCTAAAGAGAATAGGAGACTTCTGGTATTGTTTCAAATGACAGGCTTACAAGCTGAAGCTGAATGCAGGAGGGCAAAATCTGGGGAGTTAGACATGTTCTTTCATCCCAGCAAAGTGTATCAGCACCACACTGGTGTGACTGTGCCATGCTGCCCTCCAGCATCACCTCCTCAATAAGCCACCAATGCACACAATAGCACTCAGGGGACACAGGAATGTATTGGAGACATCAAGTTCCTCTCCGTCAGGCAATCCTACTGCAGCCTCCTGGAGCTGGTTGATCCATCCTGTAAGACTCCATTTTCAGCTACCATCAAGAAAAAAATGGGAAACCTCAGTAAGGCAAGAATAGCCTCGTATGCCTTTTTAATTGCTTGGTACAGGAAGGTTTTCGAAGGAGAAGGATGCTGGGATGGCAGACAGGGACAGGACTGGTGACAAACACTGAGCATTCTGCTTCCAGTCCCTGCCATTCCCCATCAGCAGTGATTGAAGCTGCTAGCATGTCATCTGCCTGCTCTTTGGTGGCTTACGGGGAGCAAGTGTCAGCCTCGTTTTCAGGGAATAGATGAGCACAGCACCCCGCCATCAAGATAAATGGCATCCTTGCAGGCAGTCTCAGCATAAGACTCCACGCTTCCAGGATAATTTCGACCAAATAGTAGGGGGAGGGAAGATCTCCAGCAGCAATATCTATTAAACTACAGGCACTCCCTTAATGAGCAGCACTCAAGTTGTTTGAAATAGGACCAAACACGCAGCAGGAGGATCTGTATGCCAGGCCTGAGGAGGTAACCCAGCAAACCTCACAGACCCCTCTGCAGATCACCTGGGGCTGATGTGCAGTGACAGAGGCTGGGGGACACGCGGCAGGCTGGACGCAGCTGCGTGGGGATGCGTCAGCAGTGCACGCATGCGGTGCCACGTGATGGGGAACGGCCGTGGGCACACCGTGACACACAGCCCCTCCCTGCAATGTGATCCCAAGCATGTGCACCAATACTGTATCAGCTACACCCGTCCTCTCCGCCCCTGCCAAGCATTATACCCCTGTGCATCCCATTTTGGGGTAGGAAACACAAACCAAAAAATGCTGCAGGGCTGCAGTTGTGTTCTGGGGTGAGACTGGAGTGTCATTTGCCCTCCCTCAGGACATCTCTGGGGAAGTTCAGTGACACGTGAACGCAATGGTCAAGTGCTACTTCTCAACTGAAAGGCAGCACCTCCCAGATTACGGTGCTTCTCTAACTGGGAAGGAAGAGGTCCAAGTCCCAACCAGCCAGGGTTTCTCCTGCACCGCTCTGTTCCTTGCTATGGAGTTATTTTGCAAGATGAGAACTGGATACAACTGTGCTCAGGGCAAAAGCAACAAAAGCACAGAGAAAGTAAAGTATGTGCCGAGTGCCTACTTCCAAACCAGCGAGCACTGTGCCAAATAGCTGCAGGTGCCTGTCTGAATATGCAATCAGCCAGATATCCACACCTTATTTGCCTGGGTTAAGCTTCCAAATATCACAGGTGTGTGATGCAAGACCAAGCTCTCATTCAAAGGCACCTGCATGGATTTGAATTTGTAATCACTTCCTGCTTTTTAATACTCTTTAGAGGGTCCTTTCTGTTTTGTGCAATACAGTTTAGGAGAAGAGAGAAGCAGGGGGTCCTGGGAACTGTAGTGTAATCTCATCTCCAATGTCCTTCTATGGCCAGGGCCACTCAAGAGCCTATTTTTGGCTGTGGTGCTTGGTAGCATAGTTTGCCAGTTAGAATACCATGTTGGAGAATGGAGCTTTGAGAAAGAAATCCCTGTAAAGCTGGATACCTCCTTTGAGAAACATGCTAAAACACAACCTGGAGTAAGTGGGTTGGGCAGAAATTGCACGTGATAGGACTGGATGAAGAAATAAGATGAGGGATACGTTGGCTCAATTTAAAGATGCACAGCCTGCACCAGGTTTGTCAGAGGGTAAAATTACTGGCTAAAACAGGGGTGAGGACTGGCAGAAGACAGAGAAAGCCATCAGCACATACTTGATTCCAGTTTTGGTGTGTATGGACATAGCAAGGCACTGCTCCAACATGCTGACATCTCCCCGTTTGGGACTGGGTGTCAACATGGAGTGCAGGCAGGGTTGCTCAGGTCCATTTCTGCACCAGCTATTTCTCTGAATTCACACCGCTGTTTCCCCCAAACTGATTCTGCTTTTATCTATCTATCTTCTTACTCATAGGAAAAGAAGGTTTTTTTCTGTACATTGCTTTAACTGGGGTGGGAGGGGGGCAGGGAAAACAGCCACTTTCATCTTCAAATGTGATTGAAGATATCTTCAAATTCACCTTTTTTTCTGCACCTCCCATGCAGCACACATTGGGGAGGGTGGAAGCCCACAGGCCAGTGTAGCTCACTGCCTTTGCCAGCAGAGTTTTCCAGATACTATTTTTCAGTTGTGCAGTCTCTGCAGCCTGAGCACCTGCCACAGCAGGCAGAGATCCCAGAGCTGCTGCTTTGCAGGGCTGACTTTGATCCGCACACCTACTGCCTCCCCGCCTCATGCAGCAGCAGAGCTTGAGCTCAGTGGGCATGATCACCTCACAGCCACGCCATGTCTCTCTCCTCGATGGCCACAGAGGAGCACAATGCTCATTTCTCAAACACAGACCTCTTCCCTAGAAAGATTTCTCCGTTATGCTCTGCAAAAACAACCAACTGGGTTTATGCAGCGGTGGCTGCCCTTGAACATCAGATTCCAAATTAAGGCTCAAAAAGGGTGATCAGCAAAGGAGATTACCAAGGGTTTATTAGTCACGGTTAAATAACAGCTTCATTTGGACAATGTTTTCTAAACCTCCAGGCACAGCCAGGACTTTCAGCACCTGGACATGAGCCTTAGTGTAGAGAGTCCTATTCCTAGTTGCACTGATACTTCCATGGAAGTGCACTGAAGCTCCTGACACATAGTGAGTATGTGTGTGCACAACAGGAGGGAGAAAGGGCATCTTTCTGAGAGAGTTTTCTGCTTTCCCATGGGAGCCCTGCAGTCCTTGCCTCTTCTTTGTTCCCACAGGCAACATTGCTTGGGGTGGGGAGAGGCCTGGAGCCTCGAGCCTGCCTTCATCCTGGCATGTCTGGCTGTAGGCTAGAGGCAATCTTTGAAATTGGTCAAGACAGCACTTGGAGGGTCCCAGGGCAATGTGGTCTGGCATGGAAACACAAAGGTTCTGCACTGTAAATATAATTGTAGTCATCTGCAGCTAGTTGTAAGGTAATTACAACTAAGTTGTTGAAATCATTAAAAGACGGTCTTATGATTAAAGGAGCAAAAGAAAAGACAAGGGGTCCCTCTGTGTCCCTCAGTCAGAAGCTTTCCTATCTGACGCAGACACAGAATTTAATTGTTGTGCCTCAGTTTCCCTACCTATAAAACAAGGACACCATACTGACCTACCTTTACACACGAGGCTTAAGTCACTAATGCCCATGACAGGCCTTCAGAGTCTCTGGTGAAAGAAGCTATAGATGGGTAAAGTACAAGTTATTAATGTTCTTTCATTTGGAGGAGACTGAGATGAGAGGAAAGGAACTGGCTATAAACAGCACCATCCTGTGAAAGTAAAAACATACAACCGAAGGATTTCTCCAAACATTACTGTATTTTTCTTACTGCACCCAACCAATCTTGCCATTTCGCTCAGAATAACTCCTGTTACAATGGCAATGGTGTTGCTGAGGACTGGGACATTACATTACTTGTTTCTGAATTTCTGGCTGAGACCTTGGAAAGCCATTGCATGAACACAGCATTCAACTGCAGCCAATACTCACAAGGATATCAGTGTTTTCAAAATAGTTCCTCCAGTATGGCCTGATCTTCCTCTGTCCGCCTATGTCCCATACATTCAGCTTGAAGCCTTGAGACTGTACACTTTTGATGTTGAAGCCCTGGAAAGAGCAGAAACAAAGCCACATAGAGCATAAGCCTGAACGGCTGGAGCATGTTCACAGGCAGACACTAACACCTTATATATCCCATGCCTGCAATGTGCAGCAGGATGGGCTGGGCAGCCACAAAGATGGATCGGCTGTTGGAGAGACACTGGCAAAAGCAAACACAGCCGCCAAACCATCAGTTTGCCAGCGCTCCTGGGTCAAGGGTTAACACTGTCATGGCTATGGAGACATAGGATGCAGTTAGTGCCCTGGGAAGGCGTAGCAGTGTAGGTGCAGGAAGAGGTGGGAGAGCTGCAGATAAGGAGAAAACAAGGGCACTGTGAGAAGCAAGGTTGAGCTTGTGAAAGCTGAGTAGACAGTCACAGCTAACATGAAGCCAGAGGTCTCAGCTCAATTCGACACGACACAGCTAATGCCAGGCTTAAAAGAGCAACAGCTGCACGTCTGAAGGGTCCATTTCATCAATTAGAGCACCAACTGAAAGTGCATTCAAGTAGAAAAACAGGATGTGGCGTGGGCTGGCAACGTGCTGCCACACCACCCAGGGGACCGGGGCTTGGAATTGGGGTGTCAGGGCTAGGAGCTTTGGGAGGCAGCTACAGGGTGGGGGGAAGCATCTCCCATAGCTCTCTAGCAACCTCCTCTGGAGCGATGCTGCAGTGCTTCTGATGGGAGACATCCCTCTCCCCAACCCTCAGGATCAACAAAAGGGGATGAGAGGCATTAGAGAGGGAGCACTGGTATATGCAGGACCCTTGGAGCTGGCTGGGTGAAAGATGCAAAGAGACAGGGGCTTCCCCAGTTCTGCAGCATCCACTGTACATGTCCCCTGTTTGGCAAGGACAACAGGAACAAAGTCTCATCCATGCAACCCTAGCATGACCTAAAAGCCTTTTGCAGAACTCCACAGCACTCATCCACTTTTGCACTACCTGACAGATCTGGCCTGACGCTCTCTGGCTCCTTCAGGAAGCCTCCTCTTAGGCAGAAAAGACACAAACTTAATGGTGCACCAGGCTCCAGCTGCTCCCCCTTTTACTGAAAGACTCTGTTGAATCATTAGTGCTTTGTATAAGGTGGCAGGTGGGACCGCAAGAACTGCCCTGAGAGGTAAAGGCCTTCCTCACCTGTGTTGGTGTGATGTGGCTGATGTCCTCTGATGCCAGCTGTTTCAGGAGTGTAGTCTTGCCTGCATTATCCAGTCCCAAGAGGAGGATTCTCACCTCCTGGTCCGGAGTGCTTTTTAGTTTGCGCAGGATTGACAGTAAACCCTAAATCCACAAGAGAGATCATAGTGTTTATTTCCCCCCTGAACTCTCTCCCCCAGTGCCGTGCCCTCCTCCCTTGAAATGGGCTCTGTAGGGTGGTAGATCCCAGGACACCTTGAATCCCTTCCTGCAGTCCCTATTCCCATTTAATTTCCCATTCCCCTTGCCCCCTATTTTCTTTCATCTCAGAGTATCAACGAGGTCTCAGACAGTACAAATGTCACGCAGTGAGGTGCCCCGCTGGCTGCACTGCTCTGGTCACACAGCTGTTTGGCATTCCCTGTGCCAGGGAGACAGTGCCTACACACATCATGTGTAGGAGCTGCAAACTAAGTCCTTGCAAGCTCTTCATTATCTTTATCAGAAGGAAAACACCATTAATTTAATCTCCCTCCTAGTTAACTGCAGGTTACTATGTACCTGACATTGTTCTTTTCATAGTAACTCCCCGGTCAACTCAAACCCTGTTTATCTGTCTAAAACATGCTGGACCCGTGGGGCACGTGCAGTTCTGATTCTCAGGATGTAGCACTTAACAACTATCTCAGATCACCACACATCCTCGCTAAGAAAAGCACAGTGGATTTCAGTCATTAGCCAGGCTCAGCTCTCTGAGCTGACAGTATCACTCAGGATTAGGAAACAGAATATCCAGGTCAGCTCATTTACAAACGGGCACCTTACAGCAGCACACCCAAGCTTTTGTCAGTGTCACCACTCGGAGACCTGCACCTCTCAAAAACTGCTGGAAAAATATTCTGGATCCTGGCACGTAACCAAGAGATGCAAATCACCCCATTTCCACCTGCCTCTCGCTGCCCAGCCCCACAGGCAGTTGCAGCCAAGGGCACAGGAGCGGGCTGACACACCACGAATGCCTGGGTGTCCTTGGGCACAGTGCTGCGCTGCTCTGCAGCCCCTGCTTGTCAGGAACTGCTCCTCAGAGCCCAAGCAGCACACACCACACTGAGACCCTGCCCGGCGACGCAGGTGCTCTTGCAACTAATTTGCCTGAGAAAATCCAAGAGAGGGATACACCTCTAAGGGCCCCTTCTGGAGCCCTGAGCACTCCTGCTACCTATCCCTGACAATTCCCTTGTTGAAGCACACTGAGCCTCAGAGCCAGGAAGAAAGTTCAACTATCAGCAGAAACCTGAGCCCACAGGGCCCATCTCTCAAGCTTTTTTGTTCTCCAATTTGCAAAATGGAGACAATGCTTCTTGTCGACCTGCAAGGGTGTAATCAGCTAAATGTCATGAAGTGCTTTGTTGCTATGAGGAACTAAACCCTCTAAATATTCCTGCTGGGAGCCAAGGACTATTTGAGCCTTGAAGGTTGCTCCTGATCCCCTCCAGATCATGGCAATCAGAAACTTGTTCTCAAGATAAAGAGCTGCAGGAAGCAGTACAACTGTCACTGCTGCAATGCATCCCCCGTCTCCAGCAGTGCCCTTCTGCCCACTCTGGGAGAGTCCCACCTTATCCATTCAGAAACTGCTGCTTCTGACTGCTCATTGCACTGTTCCAAGGTGGGGAGTGCTTTGGAAAGGACACGGCACTACAGGTCATGATACCAAACCTTTCAATAATGCACAGAGATTCAAATACATGTGACATTCGATCCATCCCTCTAAGCATTTTCAATTTCAGATTAATTTATCAGTTTTCCATTTAATTACCAGCCACAGCTCAAAATACATGTGTGACGTGTAAGAAAGAGGGAAAAGAGAAGGAACTTGGTAAAACTGCATTCGAAGGATATCTGTACAAAGTCTCAGGACTGCTATCATTGCTGTGCTTTTAAAAAGCACTGTAGAAAGCTGAGGTTCAGAAATTCAGAGCTCATGCGAGAACAGAAAAACTGCAGTCTTAACACACAGTAAGCAGGCTCAGAGTGTCACCTATCTCATATGTGATAAATAGGCTGGTAAAAAACTGGGAATCCAGGCCCTGCTCAAGAGATGTTAATCAGGACTGGGCTCTGCTTGGTACAGGCACAGTAAATCCCCAAACTCCTTTTAGTTGAAGTGTACAGAGCTGTATCACCATGTGCTGGGCCCTGAGGGCCAGATGCTCACAGCTGGCTCTCACCCCTGGACCTGTGGCTAATGAACTTGAAGGGCTGCGTTCAGTGCAGCCAGTCACTGTGAACCCTCCCAGCCCAACAGTTCATCTCCCTGGCCACAGCGCCCAACCCACGTTCTGCCCCACGATGGTATGCACTTCCACAGGTCGGAGGGAAGAGGAAAAGAAGAGCAGCAAAAATACCTTTAATGCTCACATGTTTATATGCATGTCCTAAATGCTCTTGACATCATTAAAAAGCACAAGTTTTAACTCTATGACTAGCAACACATTTTCTTCTCACCTGCTGTCAAATTTACAGTTGTGTTTGTTGGCTTGTAAATCCATGAATTTCAGCTCGGTGTGGACAGACCCATAGGAGCAGGAACTCTAAAATTCACACATTCTCCTTCCTTTTCAGAGAAACACTAAATTTCCCATTCTTATGGGCCTGACCCAAAGCCAATGCACACCAGCCAAAGCACTACTGCCGACTTTGGAGAGCTCTGAATCAGGCCCTATTATTTTAGTTTATTGCTCACAGTTAAAAAAAGAAGCTGTTGAAATGCTAATCCTATTCACAGCACCACTTGCTAAGAGCAGAGCAGTGTATCCCAGAGCAGATCAGGATTAGGAGCCTTTATATTTCAGAATTCAACTCCAAAATATTGAGCGCAAAGAAATGTATTACAAAGTATTGCTTATCTACCACGGAGCAATTCTCAGGGGTCGGGAAGAGGAACAGTTGTAAATGTTAATAGAGCTTCTCCCATTGTAGATGGATGCTATTTCTGGGCTAGTATGACAGCCTATGAGAAAACGATCAGCATCGTTCCATATTCTACTCAAGTGACACTGCTGCATGGCTGATCACAGGATTATCTGGGGTAGCCAATAGAAGAGAAGATATATATAGAAATAAAAGTATTCTCTAAGGTATAAAGTAAGCTGATTTAAAAGGCTGGAATACAAGCAAGCCAACATAGAGAAGCGGACTTTATTTCAGTAGCTGCCGGCATAGGTTACATGGTCTGTATACACAACTTAAATCAAGAGCCAAATAATAGTATTGGTTACTGTGATTGTTACTATTCTGTAAATAGTATTTAAAACTTGAACCCAGCATTATCCCTGTCGTTAGAGAAGATTTAAAACTAAGAAAAGTCATGCACAGATGGGTTTCTAACTTTTTTTTCCCTTTTTTTTTTTTTTTTTTGTAATTGGTCTTATGAGCACACTGGCTAGGAAGACAGAAAGCATTTCCTGACAGCTTAGTAGACTGGAAAAAATAACTCAGCCTAGTTCCCTGTTGCATGCCACCACTATGTGGGACAAGCAGCCCTTGCTGCACACACACTGATGGACCAGCACTTCTCTGCTCACAAACACAATGCTGAAACTAACTTGGGCTGATGAGAGTCAGATAGCAACCCCTTGTTATTGATGAGAGGTGTCAGATAGAAAGCAATGAAATGGGAAAATCTGTGCAAAAAGGATGCTCAAAAGCAACAGAGCAGGAGCAGATATTTGAAGCAGAGCAGGTAATGTCTCAGTGCTGCAACTTAACCAGCAGTGGGAGGATGGCCAGGCCAGTGGCACTCACTCACTGGGGTGTCCAGGGTGAGAAGGAGGACAAGTCTTGAGCAGAACAGTTGAGATGTTGGCTAGCTGAGGAGCTGCAGAGACAACTCACAGGACTGTAAGGGCAGTGTGTCATCTGCACAAAACTAAGCAGACTGCGGCATCTGTAACAGAGAAGGGAACTGCAGACGCTGCTCAGATAATGAACAGCACAGCATGGCAGCGTGCACAGCCTTTGGAGAAGGGCAGCCAGACAGAGCACCTCAAGGCTGGGCACAGTCCGCCAGCAATCGCTTCTTGGTCACCTCTGGGTTAAGCAAACTATGTTTTATATCAGATTGGCTTGTTTAAAAACATCTTTGTCCTTGGTGGAGAGGGTTTTCCTTATGAGCACCATGAGGAGACAGACTGATGGGGTCAGCAATGAGGAGACTGCATTTTCCAGACAGTGAGTGGGGACATACAATAAGAAAAAGAGACTCCTGACAATTACGGTGAAATCAGAGTGGGGTATTAAATTCTGAGATGCAACCAAATGGGCAGGAGCACTCAAACACATCAAGCATGAAAGAAAAGCTAACCATCTTATTAGCATCCTTCAGAAAACAGGGATGTGTGGTTTTATGAAAAGATATCATTGCTAAGTTTAAAATACCCACCGAATTATCAAAAGACTTTCAGTTATAGCTGCATGCAGTAATCCTAGTCTCTTTAAAAAAAAAAAAAAAAAGGCAGACATATATAAAAATACAGTGACATTTATAGTCCTAGCTAAGGGTTTTGTGGGTTTATTCAGCTTTAAATCCATGCTGTATATGGGTCTTTTGAACTAGTTGATGCATGTAACTACATCCTGTACCACAGAAGCCGCTGAAAGGAAGATTCACTTTATAGGCCAAAGCAAAAATTGGTTTGGGACAAACAGAGCATTGAGATAATCTGTTTAAATATTGTATCAGATTGGCAATATAAAGCCATAATGGAAAGAACAATTTCCCCTTGTACTGAGGGTTGGATACATGGTGCACGGATAAAAAGCATGGCCCACAAGCTGCTGTAGAGCACAGTTGATTCCTATTAGGAAAGAGACGTAAATGTATTCTGTTTAACTTTATTAGCCACAAAGCTCAGATAATGAATTTAAAATAAAACCACCCTTAGTCACCAGCAATTGCTTATCTACTATATGTGGATATTTAGGTAGAATCAAATCAATTCACCAAGATGCAATACAGCCACAAAGCTCAGCAGCTCAGCCTGCCACTGTGACCACATCTCCCCCATCCCTACACCCCTGCACAGACACCCTCTTCCCCACTGCTGCAACCACAATTCACCTGTCTTCATCCTGAAGGCTCT